TTGAGTTATTTCTGTCCTTTGATTACTGTGAATAGTGCTGCCATGAACATTGAAATACAAGTTTTTATTTTAATTTGTAGGTCACTTTGGGTAACATTGCCATCTTAATAACATTATCTTCTAATTGATCAACATAGGATGTTTTGCCATTTATTTATATTTTCTTTAATTTCTCTCAGTAATATTTTGAGAGTTTTAATGCATAAGTCCTGTAGCTACTTCACTGGGTAAATTTACTTTTGTATTTTAGTCTTTTTGATGCTTTTGTAAAAAGAATTTCTTTTTAATTTTATTTTTTTATCATTCATCGCTACTGTGTAAAAATAATCTGTATAATACTGTGTAGATATTTGTATGTTGATTTTATATTTTGGTATTTGACTAAATTTATTAATAACAAATTGCTTTTCCCCCCTTATATCAAGACAAAGAAAAGAATCAATTTTTCTTCACAACAAACTTCATGTGATAAAATTATTGTGTTTTGTTTCTAGTTATCTATTTCATTGAGTATTGTTTTGGAATTCAAGGTGTAATTGCAGTTCTGGCACATATTTTGGAAGCCCAAGGCTTGATCTCTTCTAACTACAGATGGTCCATTAATATCAAAGCTCTTCTTCAGATAATTCTGGAAATCACCTGTAGTTCAGCCAGTACTTCTTGTCTAGAACTCATGCTTTGTCTTAGTTTGACCTTTCTTGCCTATTCAGCAATGTGAGTCTGGATGTTTGCATGTGTTTGCATATTTTTTCAGTATTGGAAGTGTTTTTCAATAGACAGATTTTGCAGGATATTTTCTCCATTATATTACCAGAAATGGAAGCCCTTCTTAGAGAATTTTTATGGGAATTAAAAGGGATTATGTATACACAAAAATGTTAAGAGAGGGCCTGTTACACCAGGAGTTCCCACTAAATAAATGTCATTTCACAGATACACACACAGAGTTGTGGAATGTGTAAGAGATATAAAATAATGAATCACTGGCTATTATGGTTGGGAAATATAATGAATGATTTGAAACTGATCTTTGGGAAATTCAGTGTAAAAATGCATTTTGCCTGAGATGTATGATTTTACTTGAAGCAGCCTCAAGTACCCCTTCCCCATGAAATAGGTCGTTGACATGGACAACAACATATGATGAGAACATTGTATTATTTTTCCTTTATTTAGAAATGATTACTCTGGTTTACAATTTTCAAGGTACATATTTCCCTTATGTCTATTAATTGATCTTGAAGAAATCCCACTAGAAGTAACAAAAAGCTATGTTTAAATATGTTACTCTGCTGGATTTCTATGTGTGAAAGCATAGTGACTTTTTAAAAAGTACCGAATAATTAAGTTCCAAGGAACCCCTACCAAAGCCTATCATTGAAGAATCTCAGCCTAAACCAACACAGTCAGAGTGTAAGGGAGATGCAATTTCTTCATGAAAATGGCAACCATAGTACTTCTAATTAAGCCTCCCCAGAACAGAACCTCTATTCTGGAAAGCAAAGGTTCCGTTGAAGCAACCTATAGATGCCATTTACTTATTGATCCATCCCAAGCATTGATCATCCTGTCTGTTCACCCTCTAATTTTGATCTACTGAAAGTTTCTAAAGAGAGTCTCTCCACAGTCGAAGTGTTTTTCATTCAGAATAACTAGCAATTCAACTGTTTATTCATATGATTTTATTTTTAATGAGTCAAGATATATATTTATAAAATGCATCAATTAGATCATAGTGCTGATGAAAGTGCTTTTATTTGATGTCTCATAAGATGTTCATAAATGTTTGATTTTGAGCATTTTGCTTAACCAATTTTAGACTGAATTTGTTTTGTCTACTTATTACTTTTTTGTCCCACAGACAACAAATGTCATTGTGTACTTTGGAGCTTGAGACACTTGGGGCTTTCTTTTGTTTTCAAATGCAGTCTTGCTATTACTACATTTTGGTTCAGGCTTACTGTACATGAATGCAATAGTTATAACATTATATTATAAGCAGCTAATTGTATTGCTTATGCTAATGAATAATTCATGGTATAATCACATAAATTTACTTCAGACTGATGCTTTATTTTGCATGCTAATTTGAACATGGTGCATTTTTCACATTTTGATCTGGAAATGATCTCAAATAATGACCTGTTTGTGGATATTGGGGTTTGCATTGACCTCAATATTCCTTTTTTCTAAACATTGCTTCATAATGTGTGTATTTCACCAGGGTGGTTTAGGTCATTCAGAGTCAGGGCCATGCTAATAACTTCTCTTTAAGGCACTCCAATTATTGCTTGTTAACAGGATTTTTAAAAAGAACATTTCCAAAACAAAACATTGTGTTACCCTGGACCTTCCAAATAGCAGACATTCTGCTTTTTATCTTCTCCTTTACCCCATAATTCTGGAGCTCATCACTCTCTCCAGTTTTATTCCATACTAGACTTTTCATTTAATCACTCTTTTATAATTTGTCCTCTTACCCATTCATTTCATTGAATCCGCACAGATAATTGTGAAGTTTTATGTTTGAAATCATGATTCCCCTGGACCGTGGCTGGGTATCCTGACTCTCTTAGCCTTCTCACCTCAAGCCTTCACACAGTTGTCAGGTTAATTCTTCTGCAACCACTGAGTAAAAGATATACTTTTCAATGCCAGTGTCAGCCTTGGTATATTACTCGCTCCCCATGAAGCATTTCTGCTTAGTTTTAAAGTCTACCCTAAATCACCCTCTTCCAGTGATCTTCTGTCATATTTTATTCCATAGCAATAAATCTACTTATATACCTACCTAGAGATATAGCAAGTTCATAGTACTAGCTACACGTTTTTATTGTGCCTGGAATTTCCTTAGTTAACTTGTACCTATAATACACTTGCCATTCTCTCAGGGCTCAGCATAGATGCAATATAGGTTGTGGAACATTCCTGGACTATCATAACTTTTAGTAAATTTCCCTAGTTTCACTTACTACTTACTATGCTTCAACACTTAATTGTACACTTCCTTGTATTTGTCTTAGGTTTTATTTCATGTGTTTAGTTTTACCTTTATTACAAGCGTATTATTTTTTTAAATCTAAATCATATTATATATTAATTCTTCTCTTTTTGAAATGATAAAAGAATCTTGTTGCCCAATGGAGTCTAACACATATTAAGTATTAATAATCATTTATTTTATTTGACTCATTAGTAATGCTTATCATGGCAGGTATTGATGTGTATATCATATCATTAAAGTGGATCCAAATGACCAAGCTATTTTTCAGAGTGGGGTTTGTACTCTACAAAAGATATTTATCATAAAATGTAATACTGAATGTTAATTTTGAGAGTCTGGAGGTGGAAATTATTTGGCCCCTCTTTCCCAAATTGGAGGTATCTGTCAACTTTTAGGATGAGAGTGACCTGCACTCTCTGCTCTCCATCTGATTGTCAGGGTAGATTTAGTTCATCTGGCTGGTTTGCCAGGTGTCCTTCTCATTTCTGAATGCTGAAATTATAAGACAACTTTGGGGAATAAGCATCTCATTTGGAAGAGAAGGATTATTCTACAGTCAAGCATATCAAAGGTGCTACACTTTCTCACTGCCTTGTTTCCAGAAACAATGGCAACAGCCAATGTTTCTACACACTAAAAGTTATATATATATACCTAGTCTACAGATTTTCAAGGTCTTTATATTTAAATCCTTGGGCTTTGATGCTTCAAATTCACAAAAAGATAATTTTAAAACAGTGAAGTTTCCTTGAAGATATATAAGAACTAAGCTATAAATTCCATCAAGGTAAATTAGAGGCTTGGTGTATCTTATTTTTAAAGTGCCCTCAGAGCAAAGCACAGAATCTAACACCTAGTAGATGTTCAATAAACATTCCTTTATGTTGAATGGATAAATATGTGAGATGGATACTTGAATGAATAGTAAAATATGGATACTTGAATGGATAAATATGTGAGATCATAAATTTAAGTATAATTAAAGTGTTGTTAACTCCCCCTACCAGTTAGTCCAGTAATATCTCAGTGATATTAATATCCTGAATTTATTTTCCTCAGCCATTCTCTTGTTTAACTACATGATGTTAAATGTTTGATTGAGTTTTCCTACCAAAATACTTTTGACCACTCCATGGGTCCTCTGCTTGCTGCCATAGCTAACAAGCTAAGACTCTCCTGTCTTTGACACTTGGATTTGTGGAAGAAATATTCTAAGATTAAAATATTGTTTCCATGGATACTGCTGTCATGGTCACAAGGAAAATTTCCCATGCATCGTGCCAGTGAAATTGGGCCTATGCCTCCATAAGCAAAGGTGGAGGTTCTTTGATTAATAAAAAAGATGCCCTTTCTATGTTAGGCATAGCTAGCACTCCTAATGGCAATTTTGTCTGCGCCCTAAGGATTAAGGCACACCATGTCTCACATGCTCATTTACTGCCCTGGAAATAGAAATCCAGGATCCTAAAGATCTAGGCCCTAACATCATCATAGCCACTTCCAAGCTGAGGCTCTGCTTTCATTATTGCCCTCCCCGCATTCACCACTAAGGCAATTGTATCTTCCCAGTGTCTCAGAGCTTGGAATTGGCATTGCCTAAAATGCTATCTATTTCTTCTCTCTACCTGGGGAATCTGTCATGCTTGAATCTGTCATTCAAGAACAAAATAGTCACTTGTCCCCATGGGAAGTCAGAGAGAGAGTGCTCCTTTGCTGAGATACTCAGCCTAGAGTCCTTTAGAAGGAGGCTACTTGAGTTTTAAAGTGTTATCCTGTTTTGTTTGCTGGGTCATTTCATTTTCTTGTATGCTTCTCACAGTCATCTGGCAAACTGCATCCATATCCCTTACCCACCTCCCTATCCAGGCTCTGTGCTGGCTTCAGACCACTGGATTAGAACATAGTTCTCTTTAAAGTGAATTCTCTCTTATCCATCCCTTTTCTTTGGTGTCTAAGATCACTCTCTCCCACCTTCAGCCCAGAAGAAATGCCTGAACCCTTCTCGTGGATGGATTGAAGTCTTATCTTTCTCCTTCCAGTGTTCAGGTAATAAAATAGTCACAAATGTGCTGTGATTTGAATGTTTGTGTTCTCTGTAAAATTTATTTTAAAATTTAAACCTCAATATGATAGTTTTAGGAGGTGGGACATTTAGAAGATGATTAAATTCTGAGGTCAGGATATTCACAAATGGAACTGGAGATTTTATAAAAGGGATAAAGAAAACTACTGAGGTCAATTTTACTCTTCCATCTTTTCTGCCATGTGATAATACAATGTCCATCCACTTTTGGCCTTTCCTCTTCCACCATGTGAAGATACCAATGCAAGAAGATGCCACCACAAGAAGATACCTTCAGTGGATCAATCCTGGCTTTTATCTTGGACTTGTCAGCTTCCAGCATAGTGAGAAAATAAATTTCAGTTGTCTACAAATTATACAGTATCAGCTATTTTGTTATAGTAGAATAAATGGACTAAGACATGAGCCTACTGAAATATGTCAAAGTTCTACTCCTTGAAAATTAAATATGAAAAAATGAGATGAGATGTACTAGCCATGGTTTGAGACCACTCAAATCATAGAGTGACACTGGCTATAATTTTAGTGATAGGTGTAGCTGCTCACTCTGAAACACACCCCAGATGGTCTCTGCATTGCAGGGAAGAGGTGGATGCTGGGAAAGCCAGATTTCTGTAGATCTACTTATTCTATCTTATTAATTTTTAAAAGTAAAACTTTTATATATGTATTTATGTAATACAAACCAAAAAATGTTAATGTCGCATTACTCTATTATACTTCCAGAATTTTGCAGATAAATCGACTTACTTTCTAGCATATCTTAGTAATTCATTTTAAAAACCAAAGAGAAATACTTCTACTACATTTAAACCCATATTTTTACATAGTGTTTAACACTCAAAGAAAATTTTACTTGATTCAATCATTTACCTTGAATATAAGTAAAATGTTAGATAAAAACTTTGTAGAATTGGCCAAAGTTTATTTTTGGGTAATACCAAGCATCGAGAATGAAGGAAAATTAGCAGACATATATTTTCAGAGGAAATATACAGGTCTACAAAAATGCCAATGCCCTGGGTGCAAGACCTATGTTCTACTGGTTGCCAAGTAACTTACTAGATTAGAGACAGAAGAGAAAACCAGTCTCCATATATGCTTTTGGAATTTGGCAAGAAGTGAAAAAAAATGATAAGATTTAGGGTGGTAGAATAAATTAAGATGCCTATGATGTGTAACAGAAAGGGAAAAGAATGATGGAAGATGTGAATTATGAAGTCCAGAATTCATTACAAGAAGTGAGGATCAACTACTGAATCTTGTGCAGCTCCAATCATCAAATATTTTAGTGACTAAAATAGCATTGTTGAGTGATCTTTATTTGATACCTATTATGTAAAGCCAGGTATTTTCATGTATTTTTCCCTCATTTAATCTTTATAAATGCTCAAGTATTTTTGCCCCCTTCTTCAGATACTGGAGCTGGTACTTAGATCATTTAAGGGATTTCACCACAGTCCCAGGAAATAAGGGTCAGATGTAGAATTCTAATCTGGTACAAAATCTGGAATACATACCATTTTTTGACTTAATGTAAGAGAGTAAGTCAGAAATTTAAACATTTAGTAGGGGAAAAAACCTAGTATCCAATTCTGAAAAAGCATTTTCTAAAAAGCAGCATCATCATTGTCATCATCAAGAAGAAAAATAGATCAATCATCTCAATGGACTTGGCTTAGTGCTAGCCGTAGCTTTAAAGGAATTAATAGATTAATTCCCTTGACTATGGTTTTAGAATCACTAAAAAGGCATTTAAACCCCACTATATTTAGCTAATTTTCCTGTGATTTTGAAACTTAACCTTTATTAGAAACTTCTAAACTTTTTATTCAAATTATTATTTAGATTGTGACTTTAAAATTGAAATAAATTTTTCTTCTGAGATTTGAATGATTCTATTAAATATACAGTCCTGTGTTAGTTAATAACAGGAATATGTTCTAAGAAATGCATTGTTAATCAATTTTATCCTTGAGTAGAGAGTGTACTTACACAAGCTATCATGGTCACAATGTCACTAAGTGATATAATTTTATGAGATCACTGTCATATTTTCAGTTTGCCACCAACTGAAATGTCATTATATGGTGACTGACTCTGTGTGTGTATGTTGGTCTTAGTTCAGTGGTCTTAGAATAGTTTTCGTATTTAGGTTAAGTTATTTAAAAGACTTTGTTCCATTACCAAGCATGCCTAATATTTAGACTATTTGGACAATAACCAAGCAATAAGTGAAGCAAACTCAACTTAACTGAGCCTTTGTAGCCAGCCTTGTGCTAAGGAGAAAAGAAGAAAAATCGAAGAGTTTAATTAAAGTCAGGGAATACATGGAAAAGAAGGGTAGTATTGCCAGACTTAGTAAATAAAAATACAGGACACTTAAATTTGAATTTTGGTTTAAAAAGGCATAATTTTTAGTGTAAGTGTGTCCCAAGGCATCACATGATATATACCTATATTTTCCAAATTACATATTATTTACTTGAATTCAAATTTAACTGGGTGTCCTATATTCTATTTAGCAATGGTAGAAAAAGGATCCTGCAGGACCAATATAACTAGCATTGGGTACCAACTGCCACATGTCTTTCTTGAACAGATTGGCAGGCTCCCCCTGGACTGAAGTAGAGGCTTAAAATTGAGGCCACTTTTGTTCACTGCTTAATAGTGACAAGCTATTGATAGCCAAGCATTGCCAAATTCTCATTAGTTTCTAAAAGTCAGGAACTACATTTAGAAAAAAGCAGCTCACTTATGGAGAGGTCATCTGTCCAATAACCTCAAGTACCAGGAACACAGCTGAAACCCAGGAAACGAGGGGGAAAAGGGCCTCTAAGGAATCAAAATAGAAACCATGTGCTGAAGCTCAGGCTCTCGTCTCTGAGAAGAAGCCCTTAGACCTGTGTTCAGTGAAATTTACTCTTTTTTTAGACATCATCCAAACAAGTTTGGTTGTCTGATCTCCCAACCAACAAAGATGAAAAGGAGGAATTTTCTAACAGAGCAGGATGACTAGGTAGACTAAGTGTTCATTGTATGGAAAACTCTGGTAAACATATACACTATATAAAACTATAAAATTTCTGGAGAAAGTATACCACAATAGCATCAGTAGTTATTTCTCAGTAATGTCTATAAAGTAGTTTTACTTTCTTATCTTTGTTCATAACTTTTTACCTGAATATTTACAATCAGAAAAGACGATGCAGATATTTTCAATTAAGAGTTAAACTTATTCTTTGACTCTCCCAGAAGAGTGCTGTTCCCATCTCTATTAAGCACATTTATGGTAATTAATTATAAGCCCAATTCATTTGTCTCTCTTCCCTACTACATAATAAGCTCTATGAGGGCAGCATTCATGTTTTGGTAGCCTCTCAGTCTTCGTAAATAGCATAATGTCTACACATCAGTGCCCAACAGATGTTTGTTGCAAAAATGTTGAAAGTCAAAATGTATAATGTCCCCCTGGGAGACGAGACATAATGGCTTTCCACACCTCAGTCTCTCTGTCCAAGACAGTACTGTGCTACAGCCCACATGAACCACTGACTATTATTAAAACAGTCTGACTGTATGATACAAGTTCAAATTAAGGTTACAGTCTCTGCTTTGGAAAGCATGTGGCAGTACAACTGATTCCTGCAAAGATTTAATTGACATGGTTAACATCTTTTAATCTTTTGGCTTAAAGGAACAAGAATAAATAATTTTGAAAACTCTTTAAAGCAGAACCCCTCATTTGCTCAGAGGCCTGGTGTCTCTGTCACTTGACTATGAAGGGTCAGGGATATAGGACACTGTTTCTCACAGTTAAATTACAGGGACAAAACCACCTGTGATCTATTGGTTGCAGAATAGGATCATGAATGTAGAAGAAGAAATGGTGGTTCTCTGTAGGTAATGCTTCTTCATGTGGTTGTTATAAAGCATGTGCATGTTTTCAAATAAATGTAAACATGAAAATGCCAAAGCTCTACTTCATTTGTAACCTATTTCTTGAAAGACCTCTTTGCATAGGGCTACAGAAGTTCTTAGAATTCACTCCCTTCTAATTAGCATTTGTAAATGGAACCAAGTCATCTTTTTTCCTAATGAGTTGGATTAATATTTGTGTTTGTTTTTAACCAGAAAGAAATATATGAGTTACTGCACAGTGAATATCATAGCAGAGAAATCTGACAAGAACAGTATGATTCAGCATCTATTATTTTTGTCTTGAAAATGATTTTGGAGCACATTTTAATAGCTTGGAAGGGATTTTCAAAGTGGGAGAACAGTGTTGCCCTCCCACCATCATATTACCAGGAAAGAGCTGCCCAGTGTGACCACAAATGCACCAGGGCCTGCCAGCAGAGTCCCTTAAACCCAAGAGGCAGATTTTCAAAGCTGAACTGCACATTAGGACATTTTAGACTACAACCAACTTGAGTATCAGTGCTGATGAACAATAGGTTTAACGTAGGTAAATCAATCCAAACATAACTCTCTCTGCTAGTCATTAAATTTAACACCTTTTCCATATCTTTAAAGTTAAATTTAGTGGTAAAGTTACCAGATTTGTCTCTCAGCTCTTTCTGTTATCACTTCTTGGAATTAATTTTGAAGAGGAAGAAAGTCCAAGGAAAGTATCAGGAAGAAGAGGAGAAAAGTGATAAATAAATGCTTAATTCCAAATTTAAGGATGTATGGGTGCTACCTTCAGCTAATAAAAGGAGCATCCTACAAACAGCAAAACTAAGATACTTAACTATTAGAGCTTGTAAAGCTATACACATAAACAACATTAGGAAAGGTTTACAATATTGTTTTGATTTTTAAAGTAACTAAACCACTGTGGTTTTTCAAAGTAAAAATTATGTAATATATGCTTCATGTCTCAAGGAAGATATCAAGAAAAATAGTGAAGACTTCGTATATCACAAACCTTTGTCACTCCCAAAACAAATTAATGCTATCA